AGGTATTTATAGTATTCTCGAAATAAAGATTGAGAACGACCGGGACAGGGAATACATAGAATGACGTGGAAGAGCAGGATGAAAAGTGACCGGGAATAGCCGATGATTTTCTCCTCGGGGAGAAGTAGTGGTGACCGACACGCGACGTTGGTATCATAGTCCCACGTGTATGCATACGTGGTTAAGATAATGTTAGCTGGAATTAAAGATACTGTTTTAAGTTTTTTATTTATTAATGACGTTAACTAGTATGACAAAACTAACAAGCTGGTAAAATTGTTCTAAGAAACAACTAAAACAAATTGCAAAATTTACCCACAGAAGACTATAATAAAACTTACCACATAAAACAAAAGCTATATGTTTCCATTAGGAAATTTGTTGTTGTATTTCTTATGTTTTTTAATAACAAATCTGGTTTGTATATCAATATTACTTATCACACATGTATTGACATGTTACATTCTAAATTTTTACGGATTTAAATTAAATTTTTGAATATTATATATTTTAAAAGAATTTGAGATGAGTTAAGGTATTTTTTCTCCTAGTATTTTCAAAAAGGAAAAATATATGTCAACCTAGTTAAATAATTTTTTTTTTTTGCGCAAATGAAAAAAATCACATAATTATTATGGGAGGTTTGGTTTGATAATCCAAAAAAATTATGTAATTTGAAAACTTACCCATGTTTTCAAGATTTTGAAAACTAACTTTTTTAAAGTAAAAAACAATAATATCTCTATAAAATTTGATAATTTATAATTACAAAAAGTATATTTTCAAACAAAATTGGATAGATTGTAGACAATTACTACACTAAATGTAGTCAAACTCACCAACTAAATAGCTATTTTTTGTTATTGTTTTAATTAACTGCAAAATATTAAAATATAATATAAACCGAAAATCGAATTTCAATCAAAACCTGTAAAATACTATAAGTTTATAGCATAATCTAACAATTTTATACCTCAAATTGAGATAGTAATGTACAACTTGAGATAGTAATGTATAAGTCCCTCTCAACACATGTAAATAATATAAGAAAATCTCTTATACTAGATCGTTAGAATAAATCTTTCAATCAATTATTATAGTGTAAAATATAAGAACTTCGGTAGGCAAAAAAAATTGCCCACTTAATTTTCCTATAATAAATTATTTATGAGAAATTAAATCAAATGAACTAAATATTATATAACTTGAACGCGAACTATAAATTTTATGCAATTCACCATTCTTAATTCTGCCATATATATAATTTTTATGGTTGTTTTTATGTATAATCTACATTTTTTATTTTTTGATCAATCACGTGAAATGATATTTTTAATTTCGTAAATTATTTTATTGTAGAGTTAATTATCCAATGATAACACAACTTGATTTTAAAAAAAAATTTTATATATATGATAATCTTAATTGCCAATAAAGTTAGTTTTTTTAGAAACATGGGTTAGTTTTCAAAATACACAAAATTTTTGTAATATTTTTACAAATTTTCTCAATTATTATTCCCATTACAATTTTTAAATAACAAACGAATCATTGCAAGGGTTGACCAAAAAAAAAAAAACGAATCACTGCAAGGAAATTAGATACATACAATTACAACAATGAATCAAATGGATAAATGTAAAAATAATAACATGAATTTCATGGTCTCGAAACTTTCTCGGACAATAGTAGTAATTAATCTCTCTTTTAATTAACAGCACTACAGATCCTCCGGATTTGTCCAGCTGAGCCAGTTAGGGTTTGAATATCTCCCATCTTGATCATAGCAGCTGCGTAATCAGACGCGAATCGAGATGGGTTTCTGCTGTATTCAGACACAATACTGTCCGTAGAAGCTCCGGATCCGAACAAAATCTGATCACTCGCCAAAAGTCCTTTTTTCTGCATCAAGTTTCTGTAATAATTGTTGTCGAACGAATTTGGTGTCACTTGATCTAGAGGTGCTAGAGTCGTATCTCCACCGTTGACCGGGCAACGACGCTTACGTGTGCTTGAGAATCCAGCGTCAATGTCACTCGAGTTGTCGTAAAGCCTCTCCTTGAATGTTAGGCACTGAGCTTGCCCTAAGGTGTGAGCTCCTGAAAACCAAGTTTACGTGTGTCACAAGCAATGTCTTAAATGTCAAGAAATTAGCTTACTAAGATTAATGTTTTTCAGGAGACTGACCTGAGAGAGCGACGAGATCTCTAGTGTTGAGTCCTTTTCGGAGGAAGAGACCAGAGAGGTCGTCTAGGCTTGCCTTGAAGCTAGGGAGATCGCCACTGTCTGCAATAGCTCTAAATGCCTCGGTTGAATCTCTCCTAATGGGATATCAATTCCAATCAATTGTATCCCATCAGTTATGCTACTGCTTTATTTCCTTTCCTTAATGCACGATTGTATATCAATTGTAATTGCTCTAG